GAGAGAGAGAGAGAGAGAGAGAGAGAGAGAGAGAGAGAGAAAGAAAGAAAGAAAGAAAGAAAGAAAGAAAGAAAGAAAGAAAGAAAGAAAGAAAGAAAGAAAGAAAGAAAGAAAAGAAAATAATGGGTTTGAGATTTACTGGAGCTCGGATATGTAAAAATAGGGTTGTAAGTTGGTCAATGCTTACAGTGGTCTCAAGTTCACATAAACTACTGTGACAATATACCACAGGTCACACACACTTTTCCAGGGGCTTTCTTTCCTTCTGTTGTAAATTTTTGTCATCTTAAAATGAACTCCAAAAATTCTCAAATATCTTGTACTACCAGGATGTTTTTAAATATTTCTTGAAATACATGGAACATTGGTGTGGTGGGGGTATTATAGAAATTTTCATTGTAACAGTATTTGACCTATTTAAGACATGTTGCTTGCTCTTGTGGAGGAAGCAATGGGGCAAGTTATAATTTACATGCTTGGATTATCAGCCAGTAGGGTTTATATTAAGGTTGATATCCTGGGATATCTAAGAGGAAATATATCCCAAAGGAAAGGAAAAAAGAATGATATTTTCACTCAAAATATAAATGTGTGTCTATATCCCTTACAGAAAGGGAAATGTTATACAATCAAACAACAATGTTGTGATACTATAGCTACAAGATATGTTCATCACAAAAATCCTATGAGGTAAGTATGTTGCTTCCCTATTTTACAGTGAGGAAACTGAGGCACACCTTAATTATCCAAGGTCACAGGGCTAGAACCGGCATTCACATTCAATCAATGTGGCTTTCAAGTCAGCCCTTGTTTTACTAAACTGTTATTTTTCCTCATTAAGCATATTTGAAATTTGCATGAAAGAGATATTAAGAAATCACGTTTTCTCTTAAAAAGTTTAGTTATTTAAATAGTAATCATTTGGATTTCTTAAATAACCGGTTCTAGAGTATTTTTTTAAAGCTTTATGCAGTTAAAAAGACTTGCAGAAGCATCAACCTTCTAAAATTTAGTTGTATTCCTGAGACAGAGAAAATTTCTACTTGATTTTACGATGTTGGCAATAATATACTCTCAGACCCAACAATGCAAGGCACTTAGTGTAAGCACATATTATTCATGATAGTAATCATAACTTGAAAACACCCCCAAATAATTATCAATACAAGAAAGACTATATTGTACATAATAAATAATAGTACATCCAGAGTATGGTACTATGCAAACAGTAGAAATTATAAATATATGCTAATATAAAAAGACATTTGATATATTGTTTCAGTAACATTCAGGCTATAAAATAGAATGGTATGGCCCCATTATTGTAAACTTCCTTGTATGTAGAGATGCATACAAAAAAGCCTAGAAGGATATTCTTCAAAATGTTAACTGATAGGATGGATTTTGGACAGGAGTCCACCATCCGCATAGAATGTTGGCATTTTGAATACACCTGCTTTTCTTTACACCAAAAATGTTAACTGATTATCTCTAGGTAGTGTGATTACAATTGACTTAATTTTTTTATTTATCATGAGCACTTTTCTATCAGAGAAAGAAATAAAAGTTTGTTTGTTTTTCCTTAAAGGGCATAGTGTTTCCTGAAAGAAAGAGCAGTATCATTTCACTACAAACCTTAAGTTCTAAGGCTTTCATAGCAAGTGACAGGAAGACTGCATACATAGATACAGTACTATAGAATTCAAAAGCAAAAGATAAAACATTTTAAATGACTTAGTTATTGAAAACACAGAAATTAACACAAATCTTTCTTAGTTTAGATAAACCTGAAGCAAATCATGCTTAGAAGTTCTACCACGGTTGTCTTCAACTTTGTTTTCTGAGTTTGTCCCTTTGCAGGCAGGTGTAGAGCAGATTCGCTTCAGCTCCATGCAGTGAATGGGTCAGCCATCGGCTGAAAACCATTTCCCTTTCAGCCCTTTCTTGCTTCTGAAACAGTGCTGTCCAAAAACCTTTCTGCAATGATGTTGAAATAGACTCTGTCTGCACTGTCCAATAAGGCAGCCACTGGCCAGCCACATGTAGCTATGAAGCACTCGCAATGCGGCTTGTGTAACAGAGGAACTGAGTTTCTCATTTAATTTTAATTAAAATTTACAGACCTACCTGTGCCTGGTGGCTACTTTATTGAACAGCACAGATGAACATTACTTAACAATATTTCCAATCACAGCACAATTTAGAAGATTAAAGTTATGAGCCCCAAATTAAGCCAAGTAAATGGTTCATCTTTCATAAACAGATGTCAAATTTAAAAACCAGGAGATGTTTGTGTGCTTTTTTTTTTTAATGGTAATTTTGGCCACAGGGGAACCCAATAAGATAATCACTGTTTTTGGTCATGTGAACAGTGTTTCTAGTACCAAAAAAATATTTCTGATGAGACAATAGCTTCTAAGTCATCAGTCTTAATAATCAATGAGTCATGTCCGATTTCATAGTTAGATGAATCCTGTTGCTCTGTCTAGTTTTCTATTATTAATTATGTTATCCTTCAGGTCATTAAATGTCTCTCCTCAGAGCTCGTGACCTGGTAGATTGGCCATGGCAGATGAATATTTCTTCATCTCCCAACTAATAGCTACTTTTCAGATTAAGTGAAAACATTTCATCAGGGGAAAATTTATAGTATGTATGTACACTTATACTTTCGTATTTGTATGTTTTGTATTATATAAATTACATATGTGTAATATACATTATTAATAAACTTGAAAAACACTAAGCCTCTTTAGTAGTCAGAGAAATACAATTAAAATGAAGTATTTTTTAACTATCGAAATATCAGTTTTCCAAAGATTTATGATACCTGGTTTTGGCAAAGGTATGAGAAAACTGTTACTCTCATATACCATAAGAATAGAAATGCACACAGCTATTATTTTTAAATGTATTTAAAGTCCACCAATGTTAACCTGCAGTGACAGGGATAAAGGAAAATATTTAGTGGTTCAAAAAATAATAATGCTGAAAGCTCTTTACAAAAGACTGAATGGAAAAGTAAAAAGTGTACATAGTTGTTTTAAAAAAAAGGAGCTTTAAACACGTTTACTTTCTATGAACTTTTTAATTTAAGTTATAGTAAATTAATAAACATGTCAAGTTTTTAAAAAGGCAGTTTAAATGTATCAAAATTAACAGCATTTCTGCTTCTAGGTGCTTGAAATATTCATTCAGCAAAACATACTCGAAGACACACTGAACTTGCACTTAGCATTGTTGGTAGTAGCATAAAATCAGCAACAACTTAAGTGTCCACTAGAGGAATGGTTAAAGAAACTACAGTACATCTGTATCATTCAACAACTCAAAGAATAAAGCCATCTATCTATCTCTGTTTAGTAACAGAGAAAGATCTCTACGTCACATTATAAAGCAAGTTACGGAACAATATATGAAGTATGACCTCATATATCCTGGACATAGTGTGCACCAGAAAGCCAGTTCCAGGTTCCTTGGGACCCTAGAGAAGCTATTAGAATCTTAAACTAGCAGTCCAGAGAATTGTCTTTTCCTACAAGGTATTTCTACCATTCCTGGTGCACCCACAGAAATGTTTATTTCTATACTCCCATGATACACTTAACTTTCAGTATTGGAAGGCCAATATTGTTAGACCAGTAGGGGAGGAGAGCATGGGCTTTTAAAGTCATTACCAATCTTTAAATTTTGCCCCCTCATAGATGAGTTACTTGAATTCTTAAAGAGTATTCATGTCCTCTCTAAGATACAGGGTAATAGCCACCTTTCTGGGTTGTTAAATAGATTAGCATAACATACCGTATTTCCCCATGTATAAGATGCACCCTTTTTCGAAAAATTAGGGGTCTAAAAACTGGGAACGTCTTATACAGTGGTTGTATGAGCGCAAAAAACAAGCACGAAAAAAGCGGGAAATGCAAGTAAAAAAATCTACAAACCACTGTATAAGACATACCCAGTTTTTAGACCCCAAATTTTTCGAAAAAGAGTGTATCTTAAACATGGGGAAATACATAAAGCACCTCAGTGATCTATCTACTCAATGATCAAAAGTGATTACCAATAGTCTGACACAGGTATGAAAAGTTTTTATTATCTGCTATCAAGCAATTTCTACAATGTATCCTCCAAGGAGAGCAAGTCTCTTAGAGGATACGTACATGCACACCATAAGCCTGGGAAAGACCCAGTCTGGTTTTTATTGCCCTTCCCTTTTCTCTCTTTCTCTTCCCTCCCCATGCATTTAGAAGCACCTTGCTTAAACCCCAAGTCCTTTTGTTAGCCGTCTTTGCAACTGATGACATCAGTGGTGTTTTGCCTTCTTTTAAAAATTGTTAGCATTAGCTGGGACTGCTCTGTTTCTTTATAGAGTTCCCCAGGTGTTTTTTTTTCCCCAGATGACTTTTTTTTTAATAACTGGTTTCTATGAGGAGCAGGTCAGTTTGCTGGGGATAGGAAAATATTGAAAAACACAGCAAATAAGACACAAGCTAAATAGGCTGCAATTGCTATCCAAAACCGTGGATCTTTCAGCAGTGCCTTATCAAAGCAGCTAAACACAGTGTAGCCTATGGACATTCCAGCAAATCCACCTGCAATGTGAGCTGCAAAGGACACCTTGGGAGAAAAAATGAGAAGAAGAAGAAAATGCTAATTATATATTCCAGTTGCATCTCTCTTACTAACCAACAAATACCATCACAGTCACACAAGATTCTTCAAAGTCTGAAGAACAAGGAGATGAGGCAAAACAGACACAAAACTATGTATGCACAAAACATATTCTAAAACATGCAAAGCTAAAACATGTCATTTCACCAACTCTGAGTACACAAGACAGAGCCATTGTTTCTCATTCTTGGTCATCATCATATTTTGGATGGTTCTCTATAGTGCCAACCAAGAGAACAGAGTTAGGTTGCATGAGGGATCTCTATAGGAGCATAAACGGATCCCACATAAAATGTCAGAATGAAAACATAGGTAAATACATACACACAAATACTTAAGCACCAATTGCCAAATTGAAAGACTAATTCCAACAAAGTGAAATCTTTGTCAATTTTCTTTACATTATAAATTCATCTGGACCCAAATTGGCATTGCTGTGTTCCAGTGTGTTTTATTTTCTGTGGGCCTGAAATCCCTTCTCTCCTATTCTGGCATTGCTGCCAGTAAGGCAGATGTAGACAAATAGAGCCAGTGGTCAGTGCCATGGGAGCTAAGTGGAAAGGACAACCCAAAAGTCTGATGTCCTCAGGAATTTTCTTCCAAATGGAAATTTGCCCTAAATCACAGAATTGTGGCCCTAGTTGATGACCTTTTTTAGCTATTGATATGATAGGTAAACACATTTTCATTAAAAAAATAATAAGCCGAACTCACCGGTGATCCATTTGCAGGGACAAAGAACCGTCTGTAGAGAGCAAATCCCACGTCTGACGCAACTAGAAGGAAAAACAACCTGATGAAGCCCCAAGGTCTCCATAACAGTGCACCAAATGTGTTTGGTTTCACTGTAATAACAATAGCAGCTAACATGTAGTAGACTTAATTGTGTGCCAGGTGCTGTTCATGTAAGAGCTTCACAGGTATTAACCTTGTATCATGAATCCTCACGAGGATCTTATGCAATCGGTACTATCATTATCCCATTTTGCAGATTTATTCACCCAACAAATATTTATTGTCTTCTACGTGCCGGGCACTCTTCTAGGAGATGTACAAACTGCAATGAACAGATCAGAGAGCCCTGTCTCAGACTATCTGACCATCTAGTTGTGGGAGGCAAGCAAACAAGTAAAATGTAAGGTGTGTCCAATGGCGCTAAGTGCTATGGAGAGATACAGAGGGAGGAAGGGGAATTGGGGACGCTGGGATAGGGTGTGATTTTTAATCGAGTCAGGGAGGCTCTCACTGAGACTATGATGGCGATAAGGGAGCAAGCCATGCTGAAGTAAAAGTCTTCCACACAGAGAGCAGAGTAAGTGCAAAGGCCTTGAGGCAGGAATGTGCCCCGCATGCCTGAGGAATACTGAAGCAGTTGATCTGGCTGGATTTTCAAAGTGCAGTTTCTCCCAAGAGCAGCAGTAGCAGCAGCACCTAGGAATTTATTAGAAATTAAAAGTCTCAGGCCCACCCCAGACTTACTGAATCAGAAACTCTGAAGGGTGAGGCTCACAGTCTGTTTTAACAAGACTTCCAGGTGATTCCGGACTACAGGTAGGGATAAAGTAATAGATGATGAGCAGGGGACACACCATGGAGGGGCCTTATGGGTTACTGTAAGGACTTTGACTTTTTTTTTCTTTTTTTTAGCTGAGCCATCCTGCCACCTGTTGGCTGCTCAGCGGCAGCTCAGCTGGGGCCAGGCATCAAACCGCTGTTGCTCAGAGCTCACACTTTTGAGCGAGCTCTTAACCAACTGAGACCTTCTGCCAGCCCTAGGACTTTGATTTTTATTCTGAGTGATGGGAGGCCGTTGAAAGCTTTCGAGCACAGGCATGATGTGATCTAACTCATGTTTTTAAAATACCATTCTGACAGTTATATAGGGAATAGACTATATGGGAGCAAGGACAGGTGCAGGAAGACCAGCTGGATTACTGTTACTGCAGCATCCAAGTGAGGAATGATGGTGGCATTTTGTACATCAAGAAACCAAGAAACAGAGGTTAATAATTCCTTGCCCAAGGCCACACAGCTCAGAGGCAGGGACAGGATTTGCACCTTAAGCAGTCTGGCTCCCCTGTCACCCACCACACTAACTGCCTCTAATTGCCATCAGGAATCCTCAAGATGGGGCCAAGAAAGGGAATGAGTCCACATTCTCCAACGGAGCCCTGAGAGCCAGAACTTAGACATTCTTCGAATAAGTCAGATCTGTGCTGCAAAAAGGAGCCTGTGGGGTTTCTTGGCTTAGAAGGACTCCGTGCAGCACTTGGCAACACCTCATGCAGCTGTCACGTTCCAAACCCTCCCCCAATTCCCTCTGTTCTGCTTAGTGAGCCACTGTGACCGAGGAGATGGGAAGAACTAGTTCTTGCCTTTGGGAAAATAGCACCAGGACCACGTGTTCTGGCTCGTTTCCTTTTCAATCCTATATTGACATTAAAGTCACTGGGCAGGAATTGAGATGGAGGAAGTACTCAATATTAATTTAATTGGAAATGACTATTCCACAAAGTTCCAGATAAATGTGGCTGTATGGTATTTTCAATCATTTGCATTTCCTGGTCCAGTGTAAATAACAGAGAGAGATGGAACTAGGAAAGTATAAGAAAACCACTGCCAGAGAACAGGGCTGACTTACTGGAAACAGTTACTCTGGTCTAGTCTTCCAGGGTAGGAGGCCACCCCTCAAAAAACCTTTGTCACGTCAATATCTCCCTCTCTCTCTGATCGTGCCCACTTCCAACACCTCTGCCTGGCTCTTGGAGCTTCCTGGGGGAGTTTGCTTCTATTGTAAATTGCTGCAATCTCTAAACGGAGACATGTCATTCCACCTGAAAAGAAGATCTTCCAATAAACCGTATCATTGTCCTCACTAAAAACTTGATACTCATTTTAAAGAAGTTGACTATATGGGGTTTTTTGTTTGTTTTTTTTCCTGAAGGATGAAAATATGAGATTTCCTTAATGTTTTCCAAAGGGGAATCTCAGTTGCTTCATTATAAAACACATCCCACAAGTAAATGCTTAATGAAGGGAAGTCCTTAAGGCCAATTGTCCTTCACAATTTAAGAATACATTTTCCCAAGGAAACATGTTTAAAATTAAAATGTAATTATATTGTATTAACCTGGTGTGCATTGTAACTGTTCTTATTTTCAACAGTAGGTAAACTAGGCCAAAGAACTTTTGGAAATGGCACGTGCCAGGAAGTGGGGAGGGTTGATGGTTAGCGTGTCCTACCTCGGTTGGAAGGTTACAATAAAAGCACATCATTCAGTGACTTTATTACTTACCTCAAGAATGACATAACATTATATAAACTGTCTTTGAAGAAACCCTGTGCATGAGGAAATGGTTTTTACTCCAACACTGAAGAATATTAAGAGTATAAAAACAATTTCCCCATCAAGGATTTGAGGCTTATCTTATATTGGGTAATTATTCATAATTACCCAAAAGCAGCAGTTTGAAGACCCAGTTAACTTGTGTAACAACATTTTTCAGTCAGAGGACTTGTTTGTCCCTTGGTTCTGATTGTGACACTGTGAACAACGCAGGCGGCAGCCCTATTCCCACAACGATCCTCCTAACTAACTCCCAGACACTCCCTCCTTTCTGGGCTGACAACTTTTCCTCACTTCATGGATTTCTTACACAGAAAAAAAAAAAAAATCATATAGAGTATGGGATAGACTATAAACAAGTCACTCATTTTCTCTCGGGATGAAATATTGTTTTTACAGTTAAACTGTTTACAAACTAAATTCCTCAGAAGTAGTCGTCCCTGTTCCCACAGTGTCGCTAATTGAACTCTTGATACCAATTAGCAGCATCGTTTTTTACCACGTGGACAGCCAAAGCCTTCGGCTTTATAATGTGTCCCCTCTGTCTTGGCCTTCAAGTCTGACCCCACAGTCTGACCCCAGCGTCTGTCCTTCTCCACATACCCTCAGTGTGGATACAGCTTCGGCTGGAGCAGCTCCGGAAACACAAGTTACTGGCCCTGCCTGGCTTTGCTCATTTTCTTCCCCGTGTGGCCTGCCACCATCCAAAATCTACCCTGACTTTCTTCAGACTCAGTTAAAATTCCACCGCCTCTCTAGATTGAACACTCTTCCTAAACTCCTCTAGCACGTAATTCTCTACTGTAATTCTTGGAGTTGTCAGAAGCCATTAGTCATCTTTTAGCTCCCTGACCTCTCAGTTCCTTCTCCTCCGTTCCCATCTTTAATCCTCAGCCACCACTCCATGCTTATATCCTAGATTGTTTGGGGTTTTTTTTTCAATCTGGAAATTTAGAAATTGAGGAAGAAAGTAGATTATATCATTGGTTTTCAAGCTTCCCCTTTTCAGAAAAAATCATATACAGAATCCAATGTATGAACAAGAAAAACCCAATATATAAAACATAAATGAAGCTATTGTGGTTGAAGTAGATGGAGTGCCTAGAGCTCTACTCTTTTGACTCCCCCAACTTCAGAAAAAAAATAAAAGCAAAAACACATTATTGAGGCACCACTAAGACCCACCCACGAGGGTCTGTGAAAACTCCTTTTACACCTTTCTGCTTAGGCCTATGGAGCTGACAATTTTCTGATTAGGCTAGCAGTCATCCTAGATTTAGTGTTTAGGAAACTGAGACCTTCTGAAGGGTGAACCAATAAAATTGAAGATGTGAAGTGTTCACAAAACAAACTTACTTATAAGGATGATGATCAGTAGTCTGACAATTCCAAAGGCTGGGATCATTTCTCGAAAATTCTTGTAAAGAGATAAATAATAAGATAAGCTATCTATTTGCAAATGAAACATCCACCTACTCCCTCTTCATCTGCTTTTTCATTTAAAATCAAGTTTGAGTGTCAGATATTTGTAGAAAAAAAAAGCATTGGTGTAACAACCCAGTTTTCAAATGTATTTGGAGAATACAACGCTAGTGAACTTTGGAGAACAAAAATGAAACATGACATTTAATTCCATGATATAAACTAGGCACAATTTTATTATAGAAAATAATCTAAAAATAAATAATATAAAATCAACACTGAACATGAGATAGATGATAGATAGATAGATAGATGCTGTCAAACTAAGTCTGATGAAATATTTCCAAGTTTTTTTGTTTAATATTCATTTGATACTTCTCTGTCCTCTTTCTGGGTAGGAGTTAGGAAAGACAACTAAAATTTGAGTATTACCTTATTTTTTTTTAGATGATTTCAAAAATAATTTTTTTTTAATTGGGGAACAGTGTGTTTTTCTAGGACCCATTAGCTCCAAGTCAAGTAGTTGTTTCCATCTAGTTGTGGAGGGCGCAGCTCAGCAGCCCATGTGGGGATCGAACTGGCAACCTTGGTGTTATGAGCACTGCGCTCTAACCAACTGAGCTAACCAGCCTGCCCCCTCAAAAAATTTTTAAATGTTGGTGAAAAAAAGTTTAATTTTAGCTTTGAAAAATCTCAGTCCAGCCTGCAGTACCCCTGTGTGTTACTAGAGAACTGAGTCAGAAAGACATTTCCAGTGTAATCTATTGAGTTACTTCTCCCTTCTCTTTCAAGTTATTAACTCTCTTCCCAAGGATTAAAGATGCTGAGATAGCCATGTTTATTCTAAATCAATTATTTTCAAACTGTTGTGACCACAGCCTATAATAAGAAATAATTTACATAACAACCCAGTACACATATAAATCCAACAGTGCTTACTCTTATTACACATAATGCATACTGAATTTTTTTTCTTTTATTTTTGTTTAATTTTTCACAACCCTTAAACTGAGTTCACAACCACTGGTGATTGCAATCCAAAGTTTGAAAACCATTTTTCTAAATGACTTCTATTTTTGGAACAGTTTTATAACTGCTTCCTATTTTTCCTTCTACAGTATGTTTAAAGTATAAATATATAAATAAATATAAATAAAATATAAAAACTTTATATTTTAAAGTATACTTATGTGGTTACAGGGTTAAGAACTATCCAGGACTTTAGCCTGTTTTAAAAAGTGGTTGGCATTCTCACATACTATATCATGGGAGTATAAAATAGTTTGCAAACTTTGGAGGGCAATTTGGCATTAAAATCTACTTCAAAGAATTTATCCTACAAAAAAAAAATCATACAACATTATTTTCAGTGAAAGATTAAATAAGTCAGAATACACCTCTCTAGAAGGGGCTGTGGAGCACTTGAAAATATTGAGGTGGATTTCTGTGTACTGACATGCATGGGTAGGCAGATGGTCAAGGTACTCGATGTTAAGATGCAGAAAAATATAAGGGTGGTTCCATTTTTGTAATATTAATATTGGTAGTATTTTGCATACATATAGAAAAAGGTCTGAAAGGACGTATAACAAACTGTTAACAAATACTATATTGGGGATTTTGACTTACTATTTTTCAAATTAAAATTTTATTTAGTATTCATTACTTTTGAGATCAGGGAAAAAATAAAGGTAAAATATGAAAGGAAAACTCTGGTGGTCAAAAGGAAGATGAGTGCTCAGTAGATATTTAGAAATGAAGATTCCCTAAATCAAATACCAGTTATTTAAAATAAAATAAAATAAAACAGTCCATAGGTTCCATTCCCAAAGTCCTTACCACTAGAACATTCATAAAATAGCCTCCCATCAGAGCATAGACTCCTCCTGAGGCACCCACAAGATATTTGAGTGGATCAAAGATGGAGCTGGCAAGAGATCCTAAGGAAATAAAACACAAAGGATCAGACATGACTATAAGAATCACGAAAGAGAAATCTAATCTAAGGTAAAAATTTGTGAAGTTTGGGCCATTATCATATTAGCAAGCAACATATTCACTTTATCCCTCCCATACTATAAAAGTATAGCTTTGTGGATTAATTATCTCAGTTTTTTCTGAAACATTAAATGTTCACTATGAAGACAGTATAACAGTGATAAAAGCACAGACTCTGGAGCCAGAATTGCCAGCTGTGTGACTTGAGCAAGTTTCTTAATCTCTCTGTGCTTTAATCTCTCTTTCCCTGCTACAAAATGGGAATATTTATAGAATTTACCTCAATAGATTGTCAGAGGAAGTAAACGAGCTGATAAGTGCATGATGCTTAGAACACTGCCTGACATGAATTATATACGTGTTAGCTATTGTTGCACAATATCCCACATATTTAGCCAAAACTATCAAAATACCTGAGACACTCCAACATTTTATTATCTAACAGCTAGCTTTCTCACAGAGTCAATATGTGGCCTCAGAATCTTTCTCAGCATACCATTCAATCAGATTCGCCAAGCAAGATGAAACCTTCTGCTAACCCAATCTTAGATTGTCTGAACCAAAACAATGCTTTAAAACCACCTTATGCAAACTCAAAGATGTTCTTTCTATACTGCTTAGTTCTATTACTTACTCTCTTGCTATCAAGGCCCTCCTTCATTCCTTAGGATATAGTATAATACCTACTTTGTGCAAGAAAGACAAAGTGAACTTAGGAATCTTACAAATAGGTGAGCAAACAATTATAAAATGCAGAATATAACAACTACTATGATTTTTAAAAAGTAATAAATTTGTTATGGAAGCACCGAGGAAGGAATGACTTTCACAGCACAGAGGTGGAGGCCCTGCTACTCTGAGAATGATGAGATAGCTTTTTTATTAAACTCTGAAGAATCTTTAATATTTGGACAGGAAAAACAAAGAGGAAGAAAGTATTCAGGACCTATGGATATGGAAAAGCAAAGGCATAGAAACAAAGGTAGATGGGTGACTGAGGATCAGTGAGAAGTATTTCAATAGGATTAGAGCGATGTTTTTCAAATGTTAACCTATAGACTAGTGTGGTTACACTTAATCATGAGAAATTTATTTTTTAGAATACAGATACAAATGTCCACTCTGGCCATGATGGAGCTCCAAAGATAAGATTTCCCCTCCCACCTGAAATAGCTAAAAGCACTGGAGAAAATATATGGTCTTCAAGATACTGGACATCAGATAACAAAGGACAGTGAACCCTGCAAGACAAAAAGTAAATGCAAGACAAAAAAGTAAATGAGTTGTCTGATTGCCCAGTTTACTGCCTTGAGAGAGATTACAGGCTGCAGTGCATGAAGTGGGAACCTGGATAGATCTCAGCAAGTTGATGAAATAGAGTTTAGAATCCAGAAAGACGGAGACAGCTAGAGTTTGAAAGACAGAGCACCAGAGAGGACAGAGCTGCATAGCGAACCCCAGAGACAAGCATATGAGGAAATTATCCGAGCCAAGAAAAGAGTCACCAGAAAGGAATAGAGCAAAGAGTACCTCTTGCTCACACAGCACAAGAGAAGCTAAGTAACTTTTCAAATGAGAAAAATCAATTCATGGGGCATTGAGTAAAACACACAGGAGGGTCCTGCATCAGCAGTGGGGAATAATTAGTACTAAACATGACTCAAAAATGTAGTTTCAACTAACAAATTTTACCAGAAAGGATGATACTGCTTCTAAGTAACTGAGTTCCAAAGCAAATCTCAGGAATATTTATAGGAATACAGTAATATGTACCATCCAAAGGTTAAATGTCTAGCATCCAAATAAAAATTGCCGGAGAAGCAGGAAAATATGGCACATAATGAAGAGAAAAATCAATTATCAGCCTCTCCAAACTGATACAGGTGTTAGATTTAAGAGATAAGGGCAATAAATAATTATTACAACTATATTCTATATGTTCAAAAGTTAAATGGAGCCATATAAAATATAATAAAATCAAACTTCTAAAGATTAAACTTATAATGTTTAAGATGAAAAAATAAACTTGTTGGGCCGAGTACAGAACAGTCTTCAGATATTACTTTAAATCAGAATACATATAGAGAATAAGCTAATGTTAAAAAACTTGTGAATATGTTTGAAAGTATCAAGGGGATGGATGTTGGAAACGTATAATTCTTTACAATGAGTGTTTATATATTGATACTACTTAAGGTTTGTTGAAAATAAAATGTTAATCCCACTGTGGAGTCACTTGATGCTATGTTTTTTTACTCCGAGTGTGTGTGAATCACGGGTTGTTTGTTACTGTCATCTGAGATCCCTTGTATGTTGGGTGGGATTCACTCAGAAATACTTTTCCCTGGAAGACTGAGGACACTGTAATACACAATGTATGATGAGAATCTAAATGGAGATGCTGTTTGGTTGACTTAGAATGTTGATGTAAGTCAGTGTGACGTAGGTGTTCAGGGCATCATTCTCTGCATTTATGTAAGACAAACATTCTGAATCTTCATTAGATTTACCAGTTGCTCTTTAAGGAAAATAAGGTGGTGGTTTTTGAAACCCTGATGTATCTTTGTAGTAGCCATAGATAGGAGTGCTGAATATTACCAGATGTGGTTGAAATAAAGAAGTCTTTGGAGAGATCTGAGAAAGTACAGACAACTTATCCCTAAGTGCATAAATTATTGTACATCCATGTTTCCTAAACAGTGAGCCTCATGTCTTCAAACCCTTGGAAAACAGAGCTCTAAGGTCATTATACCAGAACAACCAGAACGCTTCTTAAATGCTTGTTATCTATATTTTGTGCATGGATCTTACAGGTGGTTTGCCATGCTTTATTTAGACTCTGTGTAAACTTATATTTACATTAATAATAAAGCGAATTATTTTTAATGTATTAAAAAAAAAAAACTTGTTGGGCCGGCCGAGTGGCTCATTGGTTAGGAGTTGGCTTGGGATGCCAGCTGTGAGCAGCAGGGCTCCGGCTCAGATCCCACATGAGGGCCCCTGACGCTGCCCTCTACAGCTAAGATGGTGAACAACTCGACCTGGAGCTGGGCTGCTGTGAGTCACCGGTGTCGGCATAGGCTGCAGTGGAGCTGGCCAGCAGCAGGTGTGCGCTTTTGTGAACTGCCATGAGCCACCGTGAGCAGGTGTCCAATGGCTGTCGAGCAACTGCCTCAGCTGGGAAGAGCGCAATGATAATACCAACATGAGCCAGTAAAGCAACGTCTTCCACAACTAGACTGAAGAACAAAAGGAGAACAACTTGTCTGTTCCCCTTCCGCGATTCCCCCACACTGTTCCCCTCCCCCAATTCCCCAAGAAAATCTTAAAAAAGTAAAAAAGAAAGAAGCTTGTTGAGATTGGCAGATTAGACATTGCTGAAGAAAGGATTAGTGAACATGAAGACATGGCAATAAAACTGTCCAAAATGAAACACACAAAGAATATTTTTTAAAAATGCATACAGTAGCAATGAGCTGTGGGTCAATTTCAAGCAGCCTAATAAATACATACTTGGAGTCCCCAAAGAGAAGACAGAAGGCAGGTACAGAAAAAAATATTTGAAGAAATTATGGTCAAATTTTACCAAACTTTTATGAAAACTATGAACCCACAGATCCAAGAAGCTCAACAACCCCCAAGCACAAGAAACATGAAATAAAAACCCACAACAAAGCCACTAGGCTCAAAACCAGTAAAAATCTTAAAAACAGCCAGAGTGAAAAGACATGTCATACTGAGGAACAAAGATAAGGATGATAAATGATTTCACATTGGAAACAATGCAAATCAGAAAACAGTACAGCAACATTTTTAAAGTACTGAAAGAGAAATACTGTCAAGCTAGAACTCTATGCCTAGTAAAAATGTATTTCAAAATGAAAGCAAGGTGTTTATTTTTTAGAAGTACATAGGCTGAAAGAATTGATGACCAGCAGACCCTAACTACAGGAAATGTACAAGGAAATCCATAGAAAAAAAGAGAAAAGCTATCACACAGAAATATCCACATGCAAAAAAATGACACCAGTATATACTGGGGGTGCCAAAAAAATGTATACAGATTTTAAGAGATGTTATCTATGTTCAAGCAGTAATTCGCCATAATCGAAGTGTCTGGACGCTGATGGTAACCACTTTGGGCACATACTGTAATTGCAGAAGTCAAATGTGACTTGTATTCATCTTTTGTTATCAGTATACATTGAGTATTACAATACAGTTTTTTCCTTTTCTTAAAATGTGTATACATTTTTTGGCACCCTCTCTATATACATTGTACCATGTAGAAAATGGATCACAAACCAATATGTAAAGCCTAAAATTATAAAACTTCTAGAACAAAACATAAGAGAAAATCTTTGTGACTTGGGCTAGGCAAAATTTCTTAGATATGACACTAAAAAGCACAATTCCTAAAATTTAAAAACTAATGTTATACATAATCAAAATTTAAAACTTAAATTCTTCAAAAGATACTATTAAGAGAATGAAAAGACTAGCAATCGACTAGGAGAAAATATTTGCATGTCATATATCTGATAAAGGACTTGTAATCAGAATATATAATATTATATCTAATAAGGAATATAATCCAATTTTTAGATGGGCAAAAGATTTATACATACTTTGCCATAGAAGATATATGGATAGCAAATGAGCACATGAAAAGATATTTACCACCATTAATCATTAGGAAATGCAAGTTAAAACCCAATGAGATATCATTATACACACTTTAGATTGGCTAAAATGAAAAAGATGGATGATACCAAGCGTTGTTTAGGAAGTGGAGGAACTAGAACTTTGGGTGATGTAAAATGGTGCCACTTTGTACCATATGACCTAACAGTTCACACATAGATTTATACCCAAGAGATCTACACAAAAAATTTATACACAAATGTTCATAGCAGTATTATTCATAATACCCAAAAAGTGA